TAGCGTATCACTTATTAACCACTTATGAATGTTTTGTAAATGATTAGCTCATCATTAACTAATCACTTATAAATCACTTACAACTGAACGTTATTATAAAGTGTTACCCTATGAACCAAAACTTTACCTGACTTTCTTATCCACATTGGGCTAGTGACAAATTTATACATAAGACATGCCTCATATGTTTATATGCTAAATGAAGGCTATAGGACACAGTTCTAAGCAGCTATGAAGCCATTAACAGCATCGGGAGCCTTGCAACTAAAGCTCTGTGGTTTCAATCTCATATTAGTGCGCTATTAGAGGGAACAAAGCACTAGTCAGATGAACTGAAAAAGCCCAATTTAAAATCAGACACTTATACTGACTGGCGGAATCTCAATGCGGCTCAATCAGCGGGGATGAGGTTTCCTCCTGGCTGATGGATACCGAGCTGACAGTGAACAGATGAGAGAGCACAGCGATGGCTTTGTTTCGACTTTGTTCAAGTGAGAATGCATGATGAATTCCTGCTCTGCACTTCTCTGTGGCGAATTGTGACTTATTACTGCAAACCAAGCTTACTACTGTAGAACAACAGTTTATAAAACGGGTCACACAAAATGTGGTTTTGCAGCATAAGTGCTACATCTGGGAGGGAGGAGGGTAAACATACTTTACTACAGATATTTAATTGAATTCACAATTCAGGTGCTTTAACAAAAATACAAGTTTCAAATTTTTTCACTCGTTTTCTACAGAGGAAGACACACCTAAACTGTTCAATGTTTTTGAACAATTTGGTTGAGTAAATGATACAATGACTCATTCATAAAGACAGTCACTTGTTTAGTTCATGAATGAATCAGCATTTTTTAAAGGGGTCATATGATGCAATTTCAATTTTTCAAATAATGTTCTTTTTAGCAGCATCATATGACCCCTTTAACAAAGTGAATGGTTCAAATGACTCACTCATAAACACAGTCTCTTGTCACCATAACATGTATTAACATAAACTACAGACCAAATGCACGGAATAACAGTTTGTTTGAATGCGCAAACACAGACAAGCAGAGAGATACAAACAGTGAAATGTCCCAGTACTGTTATCCAGCAAGTTTGGAACGCTACTCTGCCAATCAGATTCAAGAACTGTAACATGTTGTATATATTATAATAAGTACTTGGCCATTTGAATGCAGTGACTTTGACAATTAAGTTTTGAAGACAACTGCATATTATTAAAAACATATCAGCTTTTTTAGCAAACAGCCATTAGATGAGGTTAACGAAGGCCAAACACAAAACTTGCTGGGTTTATTTACAGGCTGACAATTTTTTAGTTTCATCCCATTTGGACAGAAGATGGCACTATACCAGTCTAAATTCTGCAAAGGGCATTATACTTAAAAATTGTCATTAAACACAGCACAGTCACTGTTTTGGGATATATATTAATGAAAATGTAAAGTTTATTATGGGTTAAATTAATTATTGTTCTTGCAATATATACTTCTTAAATATATACTGATATCGCGTATCTTGTCAGTGTCTGCGCTTGCTTGGCCATTTGTTGTGGAGAAAATAAGGAAAGTGTGTTCAAGCGCCAGCAGAAAACAGTGTAAAGAAATACTCTTTGAGAGAAGCAGTCTTTATCAGCGGAAGTTAAAAGCAGCTCGTAAGTGTATTTACTTGTCTCATTAGTGTTTAGTGCAGTTGTCGTTGCTAGGAAACGCTTGTTTTGTTTACTGTGTGGAGACATGCTGATATCACGTTTGGTCTCGTTCTGTATCGCGTATCTTGTCAGTGTCTAGTATTTTGTTAGACAGGTATAAAAAAGCTTAGTTTACCACAGCAGCCGTCGCGTGACTCTTACTATGTGTAAGTAAGTTGTTGTTTTTTAGCATGTACGTTTGACAGTGTTATTTTTTAGGATTACTGATAACCTACTGTCATTTTATTTGTATTATTTGTATTTGTTATTTATTTTAATTTGAGTTCAATTATGTCTGAATTTATTATGTCTGTATAGGTCTTTTATTAAGTTTTAGTTTTATTTCATATTAACTTAAATGATTTTAGCAAATGGCTGCAATATAACAAAGAGTGAAAAATTTAAGGGGGTCTGAATACTTTCCGTACCCACTGTACAAAGGAAGCTTCCTAAGAGGTCAGTCACTCAATACATGCGATCCCACATGCAGTTTCTCATTGCAGTCTGCAGCATCAGCCCTGCAGTAATTCTGCTGTCCTGATGCCAGAAATACCTCCAGATGCATTAATGATACATTGGCAATCTTTTTAACGTTCTATATGTTATTTATTTTAATTTGAGTTAAATTATGTCTGAATTTATTATGTCTGTATAGGTCTTTTATTAAGCTTTTAGTTTTATTTAATCTGAGTTATTTTAATACTTCAACAAACTAAATGGAAATGAAATAATGCATACATACATTGGCAATCTTTTTAACGTTCTATCTATCTGTCCGTCCGTCCGTCTTTCTATCAATCTCATGAATATTTGTAGCTATTTTATGAGGTGGCAATTTCATATGAATTCATGCAAATATATTTTTACGAAAACATAAAATTTTTAGCAAGCCACCAATTTGCCAAAATATGAAACAGTTAGAACAGAGTGTATGCTTTTATCCGCCTATCTATCAATCTCATGAGAAAAATGACTATTTTATGAGGTAGTGTTTTTAAATGAATTTCTAAAATTAAATTTTGTATCATTTTTAAAAAGCCACATATTTGCCAAAACATAAAAAAAAATGTTATGGATTATCATGAGAGTTTGTTGATTTATCTGTCTATCTGTAAAAATTGATATGATCAATAAGTTATGGCAACTTTTGTTTTTACATGACTTTAACTCATCAAAATAATTTGAGCAATTTCAACTTTTTTAGAACTTTAATGAAATTCAACTTTATTTTTTGTATCGTAATTTTTACGTAATGTAAATTCAGTTTAGTGTAATTGAATGTCTATCTCTTACACAGTATCTGCACAATTAATCTTCACAATTCAGTGAAAATATATTGACATTTATATTGACTTTTTTTACAGTTGTTTTTACAGTTTACAGTTTAGTACCTTTAGAGTGAACAAAAGGAAAAGAGATACGGTAAGGACAGACAGTTCTCCTCTTGACTGATGCAGTTTCTGTTGCAGACATGAAGTATAAATAAAACACTCACAGCGTGTTCCTCAAGGCGTCAGCATGAAACCCACAGCCAAAGGCCATGAGAGACTGTCTTTGTTACTTCCACCTCATTGTTTTTCCTCTTTCATGACACTGTAACACGTTCAGAGTGCTACTGGCAGTAATGCGGCCGGCAGCAGGAAGTTCAAGAGGCAAATTGCTGTCATAGTCATTAAGATGCATGAAATTCCCCTCATTTCCCATGATGCATTCCGAGCAAGTCTACTGCACCTGTTCACTAATCAACCAGCTAACTTAGAAGGGACCTGGATTAGAGAAACATGTTACATCTGTCTTTCCTTATGTGTGTGCGTCTTTTTAGCCCCTTTTCTCAAGAATCTCCCAAATGGAAGCAGCGATTTCCACTCTCAGATCTACAGTGCTAATTAAATATTAACATTAAAATGAAATCGGAGGCCACGCCTCCTTTCCCTTTCAAAAGCAAATCCCTCATCAGCTTTGTGTGAGGGGATTTATTGTATATACTGTAAATGTTCTTTACTTTACTCAAAGCATTTTGAGTGTTCAGTTTCACAACCTGACACAAAGTGTGAGTGAGTTGTTATGATGTGTATTGTGAATGTATTTTGCTTGGTGTTGTCTTGAGCAAACACAGAATCAGAATAGCTGACTGAGAACTGATAGAAAAAAAAAGTTAGAAGTCTTCAATGGCGTACAGTTTACGTGCATGATGCAAGGAAAAATGTAGCTAATGGAGAGTTTGTATTTTTGACATTGCAGGGAATACAGCCACTTATCTTGTAATAATTTCATGCTAATTAATCAGCCTGTCAATCAGTTTTCATACTTTCCTTTCCAATTTTAATTTCGTAAAAAAAATAAAAAAAAAGTAAAGATTTGTAAAGAAAGAGTTTACATGAACCAAAACACACCATTACGGTTTTAAGCCACAATAGGAACTTATATCTGCATACTGTACATATTTCCTTATTGGACTCGTACTGCAAAAGGTAAACAGAGAAGACATACTTTAAAAGCAGCATTTGTATTCATATTGTCAACGAAACTTCAATACTTTTAGAAATTATGTTAATACATCATTGATTATTATGGTTGATTATTATTTAGCTATACACTATGCATCATGCATTAACATAGATATGATTACGTTATATGAATAAATATTCCAATGATATTATAATTATGATTATAAAACATAAGCTCTAACATAAATATGCAAGCACAAAAACTGATTTAATTAATTGAATGTAATTTTATAATATGATTTGTATTTTATAAATGAGTTATAGTTTGTTACATTATAGTAACAATATTGATATATTTGTTGTACTTTATGTAAATTATGTACATTTAAAGTATACTGATAACTGTATAATGCCTAAGATTGATCTTATTTATTTAACACATTTATAATTAGATACAAGTGTATTCATGTACAGGGATATTTTAATATAAGTATAGGCTATATTTATATAAATATACTTAATATTATGTAACTAGTATATTAAAAATTAATCAGATTATTATTATTATTATTATAAACACGTGCAAACACCCACCAAAAAATAATGATAATAACAGCAGAAACTAAACATCATAGCAACATGTATAAATAATAGATTAGAGCATTCACTCATTTAGGCCTATTAATTCAGAGTCTATGCGTGCTGAATGAAAATACATGGCAGATAGATTCGACCGCTTTCAGACCGCCAGAAAAACAGCATGTGATATAAGCACACATTGAGTTCTGCTGCAGATACACACGACAGCAGGTGGATGTGATGCTCTGAGTGTGCGCCATCACATTATCCACACACACACACACACAGTCTTACCTGATATTCAGCATCCGCGAGGAAACGCTGCACGACTGATGCAGAAGACGAATGAGTGTTTGATTCCGCACAGCATCCTCAAGACGAGTGAAAAATCAGGCGGAGAGGATGAGAAGAGAGCCAGACGCGCACTACAGGACGCTGATCGCAGGAATGAATGGTGAGAAATGAAGTGACCAAATATGGCTGTGTCCTCAAAAACACAGCGAGTTCCCTAGCTAGACAACATTTTAGTGCATCATTCCGTTGATTTCGGTCAGTTATCGTTGCAGTTCAGCAGCGTTTTGGACAAAATGCTAGGTACATCTATGATATTCAAAAAATGTTGTTGTTTCGAAAGGCGCTTGTGGTCCCCAAAATGCTGTCTAGGTAGGCAGCTCACAAGGTTTTAAAACACAACCTGTGTGTTAAACGCGCATAGAGCGCCACTCATAGGCAGATAAGCACACAATGTCTTACAGCAGCAAATGGGACAGAATTTTGTAGAATTTTAAGTCCCAAGGGCTAATCGCAAAGGTATCAGGGTTTCTTTATGACAAGAATGAAAACGAGGCTGTGATAAATTGTATTATTATTTAACAACATACCGATTTGTTTTATTTGTATTATTATTGTGACTAAACTTTCTGAAAAGACTTTCAGCAGACAAAAACTAGATAAAAAAGTTGATAAAAAAGTTGAGTTGTGAATAATACACGACCTTACAGTCTATCCCTCACGAATTCAGTAAGGCATCTATAACCTATAGTCAAGTCACCTTTATATAGCGCTTTTAACAATACAGATTGTGTCAAAGCAACTGTACAGCATTAATTAGGGAAATAGTGTGTCATTAATGCAAAATGACAATAGTAAACACTCCATTTTCAGTTAAAGGCAGTTCATCATTGAATTCAGTGATGTCATCATCCAGCTCACTTCAGTTTAAATATATCTGTGCAATCAAGTCGAAGATATCGCTGGAAATGAAGTGTCCCCAACTAAGCAAGCGTGAGGCGACAGCGGCAAGGAACCAAAACTCCATCAGTGACAGAATGGAGAAAAAACCTTGGGAGAAACCAGGCTCAGTCAGGGGGCCAGTTCTCCTCTGGCCAGACAAAACCAGCAGTTCAATTCCAGGCTGCAGCAAAGTCACATTGTGCAGAGGACTCAACTGGTTCCTGTGGTCTTGTCCCGGTGGCCGTCTAGGAGACAAGGTCTTTACTGGGGATCTGTCTCTGGGGCTCATCTAGTTGTCTTGGTCTCCGCTGACATTCAGGGCTGTTGGATGTCCTCTCTAGGTGCTGATCCACCATCTGGGCTGGATACGTACTGGATTCGGGTGACTGCAGTGACCATCTGGTCTGATCTATACAGTATATATACGTTTTGCATTTTAAATAGTAGGCTATTTAAGATTTTAAATATATAATGTGACAACATGCCCAACTATCAATGCCTGTTTACACCATAGACTGTAAAATAAAGTAAAAAAAAAACGAAATCAAATGTATTAATAAATTATATATAGCTACTATGATGCATAATAACAAATTCATAATTACATAAAAAAAGTGAGGAAAAAATTTATGTGGGAAAAAAAACAAGCGCAGTATATTGCAATGTTATATTTGTAATAATAACTTTTCCAAAACACAATAACTTATCATATAGGATATTTATTTTAATATTCAAAGTGCTGTATGACACTTGCTTAAATGAAAACAGTAAGTTTGGTATCATCTTAAAACAGAGATTATTCAAGTGTCAAATTATTTAAGTCCCCATTCATAACATGACCACTGGGGAATAATTAACAACCCTATCTTGGCAACCGGGCAGGGTTAGCGATCCTGACCCTCATTTATGGGGTTACAAAAGAAGGAAATCATGTAGAAATATCTACAACCCAACAGAAACCCCTGACTGTGTAAACAAGTATAAACAGACTGTAACAACTGACCATCAAGAATCAAGAAGACATTGTGACCTGTGAGAGAGCGTGAAAGCTCTCTCTTGATTGTGTCAGGTTGTGTTTGCTTAACACCTCTTAACCTACTGTAAACACTTGAATTATATATGTTTATATGCTTGTTGTTTCAAGTGCTATTTCAAGATTAGTTTGATTGGTTGATGCTATAATGAGTGATACAAATATCTGTGATTGACTGTGGGTAAAAGAAAGTCTTTAGCCTCAATGGAAAATTAATGAATGACATAATATGGGCACATGGTTAGTTTATGGGTAATATGGGCAACACCACCAGACGGCACTATTTCCCAACTGCACAACCTGTAAATGTCATGAAGAAAT